AAATTTAAATATACAAAAATCGATAGAATGCAAAAAAAAAAAAAAAAATATAAAATATCCAAAGCAAAGTATATATTATGATGTTTAAAATTAGTAGATTTTAAAATTAGTACATGTTTAAAATTAAATAGATTTTTATTTCTATATTTGTGTTCATAAAAATTTTAATTCGCATAAATATCCTTAGTCTAATTATAAAAATTTCAAAATATTATGTTATGTACGAAGTGTTAATATAAAGTGTTAATTATTATCATATATTAAATTTGTATTTATATTGATGATAGAACAAATCTCAATTATTTAATAAACTTTAATACGAATATTGAATAAAATTTTATTTCGAAATCATTATTTTCTATTTGTTTTGAATATATAATTTATTATATAAATTTTATTTGTATGAAAATTAAATTTAAGTATCACATTTAATTAAAACAGTTTTAAGAACTGTTATCTATTCTTTTAAGCGATCAACAAGTTTTTAGCTCTACTCTAGAGAAACATCTGAATTATTTGTTGCTTTCACATTGTTAGTTCGGATCAATTTACCATTTCATCATGATTACATAATGTATGAATAGTATAATATCGATGTTGAACAATGAAATTTTTCATTTTTTTTATTAAATATAGTAAAGTTTTATCATTCGTATATATGAATGATGTGTTGAAAATATTACGTATTATAACAATTTATAAATCGATAATACATGACATACTTGCATCATGGAACATAGTGTGATTCGACAGATGAAAATCATTATGCGAAAGTGAAAGCGATCGTCGATATATACTGATGATATGTCAACGTTGAAACTTAACATATTTCGACTATGATTTATAATAAAAAATATTATTTAAATTTTTTCAAAATTTTTCTTAAAATAATATAATAATAATAATAAAATATAATCAATGAAAATAATAGGATAAATAAAATATATATGTTTTATTTTAAACAATATAAATGATACAATTATGAAATCTTTTATTCTATATATTTAGTTCTTTAAAAAAAAAAAAAGAAATATTCGATTTTTAAGTATTAAGATTTATTTCACGATTAAGTATATGCTATCAATATCATTCGAGAGCTCATAATGTTCTGAAAAGATAATAATAAAAAAAATAATTGTATCGATAAAAAATGTAAATATTAATCCACTTAAATCGTGATTTTATATGCAAAAAAAAAAAAAATAAATCTAAAAAAGAAATAATATTTTTTAGGTTTCGTTTTCGAGTATCTGAAGTTTGACAATTTTTCAAGTGCAAATAAAATTGGCTCTGATTATTATTTATCAATTTTACGAAACTTCAAATAGATAATGAAAATAAATTTTATTTTTCAAAAAATATTCCGATCTTCATTTTCTTTTTCCAAATATATTCATATTCTTCTTCAGTAGTTGCGAAATAGTGAACATTATTGTAAATTAAGAACACCATTTTCCTTAAAGCATTTTGCTCACTTGTATGTATTACATTAAAAAACATGCCATATAATTTACCGGTTCCCTGTCTACTGCCATTTATAGAAAGCATGTCAAGCTTTATATACTGTCTTGAATACTGTAGATGCATTCATAAGTTTCGTGATTGAGAAATTTTATCTCATTTCTTAAATAAATTATTACACTTATTTGATTCTTATGTATATACCTACTGAAAATCTCTTATCTATAAAAAGCTACAGAAGATGTATGCTATTTGTTATGAGCATATTATTTATTAATAATAATTTTAACTATTCTATAGATTTTAATTTCTTTTTTTATAATTCATTGTCGTTAAATTTTAAATATAATTCTAGAAATATTTTATATTACAAGGTTTATGATTAAATTTCGTTTTTAGTTTATTTCCAGTAGTAATCCCTTTGAATCAGATAAAAATATTATATTATCTTTAGTCGATAAAACAATAATACTTATTTACTGAGTATATCTCGATAATAAATCAGAAAGAAAAGTTTAAATACTTCATTTTTATAACTTTTAATATTTTATTATACTCCACCAATCAAACAATATTTGTTTTTGATTTATCGTAAAATATAAAAATAAAAGTAAACGATTCTAGTAGTAGTTTGGAGTGTTTAAAATCTTTTTGGAAAATTACTCGATATTTATCGAAAAAAATCTAGATGATAAAAATTATAAAAAATTATTTTTTGATTTTTAGATTCCTCTGTAAAATTTTTCATAAATTTTATATTTTTATTTTAATTGTAAATCTTTTTTTTTAATGTTAAGGAATGCAAATTAACATATAAAAGAAGATTAAATAAATAATTGATATTTTATCTAAAAAAAAAAGAAAAAATAAAAAGAAAAACAATATCAAGAATAAAATTCAAAGTTTTGAATCTGTTATTTTCTCGATAACTATATGTATAACTGATTACGAAATTTTATCATAGATATGCATGTTTATTATAGATATTGTAAAAAAAACATCTTATATTATATTATCTTATATTATAATATAGATATAAATGTTATAAATCACATTATACCAAAAATAAGACATTAATATTTCAATTCATTTTATAGTATTACTAATTAATTATATTACAATATATAAGAAGTATTACATATTAATAATTAACATATTAATAAATTTTTTATTATCTGAATCAATTTATATTAAAAAATAAGTAAAAACGATTTACACATGATGTATATATAAAATTTATCAAATGCTTAATATTTTTTTAATTTAAAAACAGGATTAATTAGATTAAGATATTTAAAAATATTTAAATTAAAAATCATTTATATTATTATACTTTTCCATTTGGATCATTATTTTCTTTGTTTTTCATTTAAAATTTTTTCATATTAAGTTAGTAAAAAATAAGATAAAGGTGTTAATTAATTAATCGAACAACTTACTAACCTAAAACTTCTGCCAACAGTGATCCACTTTGGTTTTTGATCGTAAACAACATTTTTTAAAAATCTAGTTCCACACAACTTTATCAGTATATTTGAGCTCATTTTTTAATCAATTTTCAAATTTTTTGTAATAATCAATTTTAACTTATTTGCAAAAATCCACCAAAGTAAAAAAGTGTGAAAAAGAAAACAAATAAGAAATAATTTTTTTCCTAATTTTATATAAAAATAAACCTATTAAAATAAGGAAATATCAAAAAAAAGAAATTTTATAACGTGAAAAGAAGAAATTACTAAAGATCGACGTATACTTCGCTGGTCCACTAACATAAACTATGGCAGGTATTATTTATATAGCGATCCCTTCCATCCTGAATTCCAGTAGGAATACCGGTTTTATCGCATTTAGGATAAATTTTAAATTTGTGCATTTTCTTTGAAAAATTTATTCTTCTTCCTTTCTACTTTATAAATTATTTTATTCTTATCTAAAATATATTATACAATATATTTATTATATTATATTTTATTTTCTTGTTTTATTTCTTATAAGTAAATAATTATCTATATGTTGTGCTACAGTTGAGTATATAACTGTCGAATATTGACAAATCTCAAGATCAATCGAGATGTATCAATGTAATTTAATACATTACGTGGTATACAAGAGTCATGCGATGTAATTTATATACATAAAACATACATCGATTTCAATTCGTAATCAAAGTAAGTGCAATAAATTATTTCTCATAACCTCTTATACAATATTGGTAGTTGCAAATATTGCAATAACAATAAAAATAAACATGAATTGAATAAATAAAATGATTTTATATCATTGATGATAAACATGGATAATAATATAAAAAAAAAATATTTAAAGGTAACTATTAAGTGACTATTTGATTTTACGTTTGTAAAATTGCACTTTATAAAATCGTTATTTTTTTTTTCTTTTAATTTTTTTTTTTATTCTATTGTTCTATTAGAAATTGTAAATTACTATTAGAAGGAAATATTCTCAATCTTTAAGAAAAAAATTCTATGAAAGATCTTATCAATAAGAAGTTAATTATATTTATATTTATTTGTATACTTCTATATTTTCATATTATTATATTTTCATATATTATATTACTTCTATATTTTCATACAATGATAAAATCTGTAAAATACATTTTGTAATAAACATTTTTTTACATGATAAAAAATTTATGACATTTAAATCTAATTAATAATAAAATCTAATTAATAAATCTAAAAAAAAATATAAGGAAAATATATACATGAAATGGAATAATACAAAATCTTATAAAATGGAATTATATAAAATCTTATAAATCTTCAAATGATAAATTAATCTCTCAAATGTAAAATAATACAATTTACTTTCGTAAGTTTACTTTTGATTTCTAGAATGACTACATTCTATTTGAATGAATTTGTTATTGATCATATTATTAAAATATTGATTTTAAGTTCGTAAATAAACAGTATTTATTTAATCAGATTTAATATATGTATATATATGATAAACTTTATCGAATATGACGTCATTAAGAAAAAAATATTTGTACAAGTATTTATATGAAAAATATCAAGTCAAATCAAGTAAAGATAAGATATTGATAATTATTCAAAAACTGTTCTATTAACTTATTTCGATAGAAATAATTTTTATATTTATATATCATTCATTTAAAATTTTAATTTACTTTAATTAATATCCGATGAATTATGTTTTAATAATAAAAATAGTAAATAAATATGTATATATACTTTAAATTATTATAGTTCAGTTATGGATTGAATAATTTTTAGTTTTAGAAAATTTTATTTTTTACAAATGAAATAGATGTAGTAAATGAATAAAAAATTTTTTTTAATCTTTTTGCTACAATTGAGATAAATTGAATAAAATAACAATGATATAAAACAAAAAAAAAAATAAAAGAATAGATTTTAAATAGAAAACTAAATAAACTAATTAACCTAAAATAAGATTATTAAAATACAATAGAAAACGAATAATATTGAAACAAACGGAACAATTATTATAACATAATGATATGTAAAACTATATTCTAATATATTCTGTTCTATATAGTATACGTGTAGACAATATTAACATTGTTTCATTCGTCATTATACAATTATTTAATTATGTAATGATATATAAAAATAATAATGTTTAATTTTAATGCAGTATTCATAATTAAATACATAAATACAAATGCCAAGAAATATTTCCATGAAGTAGAAAAATCATAGTACATTATTTTATGCCAAAATTTTGAAATACTATAAGTATTAGTTAGAAAGATACTAAACAGTGCAATTTTAAGTCATTCTTAACCTTGATTCTAAATTTTATCATTTCGTAAAGCTTTCAAGAATTCTTTGGCGTTTTCAATACTCTTTAGTAATTTTCCAATCGTTTTTTGAGGAATACATGGCTTGAAATGAATGGCTTCGTGCTGATGCGACACACCGTACAGATTAAAAAGAAGCCATGAAATCAATTAAAGGATATTAATTGAAGAGTTGATGGTATTCGATGCTAACAAACTTTATAAAAACTCTATACGATATCATGTTCTATAAAAAAATTTTTTTTTTAAAAATGAGGATTGAATCATAAAATATAAAATTGAATTGTTTATAATTAATATATAAAAATAAATAGGTATATTTAATATAATAAAAGTATTTTTTAATTATCAAATATATAATTTATTATATATATATTATATATAATAATTTAATATATATAATTACAAAAAGAATTTAAAGAAGATTATATAAAGAGTTTTTCTATTTTTTTTATTTTATCCATTCTATAAAATTATGTTACATGAATCAATTAACTAATTAATGTTATACAATAACGTCCATGCAAATATGCATCGAAGTTATTTATGATGTTAATATTTACAAACTAAATAAAACATGTTTCTAAAATTAAATTTACGATACTTTCGATTATAGAATCATTCTTAAGAGTTTTGGCACGTGTCTGATAATTTTGATTAATTGATACTTTATAATTCAGATTTTACAGTATTGTATTACAATATAATTATGCTGAAAATATAATTAAATGTAAAATTTTTTTTAATAAAAAAAATAAAAAAAATTTTAGATATTGTTACGATTATAATTTTTATTACTATTTTTTATTATATTTATACATTAAGTTTAATCATTATATTAATCAATGTTTATAATTTAAATGATAATACGATGAATTGTGAATTTTTTAGTAGTAATTGTGAATTTATGATATTCTGCCAACTATTTCAAAGCATCAAAAGAACTTTTTATAAATCATGATTCATCCTTGCTTGTTTCCTCTCATAATAGCCTTCGTTACAATTTTCATTTCCTTGTTTTTATTTTGATAATTAATACCAATGTAACATGTCCGGTAATTAAACTACTCAAAATAAACTTTCCTCGTCATTCAATAAATTATTCAATTATATGTAATTATAAGTAATTAATACATGTACATTATATGTTAAATAAAAATTGGAAAATTATAAATCTATTATAATTTATATATATTAATATTAATATTATTATTAATTTCATATTTTTTATTTTATAAATTGATAATTTTTTTTATAAAATTCATATTTATTTCATGATTCATGAAATTATCATTTTATTATTATTATTTTTTTTAATATGAAAGTATGTATGAAAGTATGTAAATATAAAAAGAATCTTTGAAAATTAACTAATATGAAACAAAAAAATATGTTTAGCTTTAAGTTATACTATATTTTTCAAATACAATTTAATATTATTTAACGATTTAATTTACATATTTAATTAATAAAGAAAATTAATCATCAATTAATTATTTATTTAAAATACTTCGCATTTATCTAAAACAATATCATTTATTTTCTTTTTTTGAATTAAATTGATGAATTGATACATTTTCATCATTATTATACAATTAAATATGTATATACAATATTAATTAATTTGTTTATTTTTATTCTATTTTTATTCTATTATTTTACTAAGAATTTACATATAAATTTACATATAAATTTATAAATATATATATAATAACTATTTAAGTTTGTTATATAATATAAGTAATATTAAATCAACATAAACAAAAAACTGATTTTTAAAAAAAGTTCAACAAATATCTTTTTAAATCATTGTTATATAAAAATGTAAAAATAATTAAATTGAAATTAAAATGATACTACATTTAACTCAGTCAGTAAAAATTATTAAAATATACATGGTCATCATAGATGTTGAAGTTTGTGAATGCAATTGATAGATGAATATATATATAACTGACTTCAGAAATTGTTACTAGTATAGATAATATGACAGTCGGATTTAAAGTGCACTAGACTGAAACTGAACTTTCAAGTAGAAGAGCAGCTTGGAAATTTCCCGTTCAAAATGCTTGGTCATTGTCAGTTATAATGAAACTCCTTTTTTCGCCGCGTGGAAGCGCCATAATCGTATGCATTTTTTCACGCGTTCAGTATGTGATGTCATTATGTGTTTATTTCGACATATAAATATGTTTGCGTAACAAAATATATATTTATACATATTTTTATTTTTTATTATACTTTTTATCGTATTATCAAGAGAAAAACAAATTCATTGATAAGATTAAAAATACGTTAAAAATATAATAATATATATAATATACTATAATATAATATATAATTAATATTAGTATAATCAAATTTCTTTCTTTTGAATATAATATGTATCTAGCTTTTTATATATGAGAATTCTATGAGGAAATAATATTTACCTGTTAATAAAATTAATATATTGATAATCTTTGTGTATTTAAAATGTAAAATATCTTTTAAAAAAAATGAAAATTTTCTTTTTGAATAATTTTTTTCAAATTATTATTAATACAATATATATATATATAAATAATATATATAAATTTTCAAATTTTCTAAGATTATCTATAATGATTTAACCTAAAATGATTAATCTAATATTTTTTTTCTTATTTATAATTATTTCTTCAGCTCTTTAAAAATATTTATTACTAGATTATTAGTAGATTAATAAAAAAATTAAATTCTTAAATTAAATATTGAGCCTATAATTTAAAAAAATGGTATGGATAAAGAAACAGTGTCACTTCCAGTAAAGTCAATACTTTCCTTCTATTTTCGAAGAGTTTAAATGAGAACGTTCTACATCTTCGAATAGAACGATCGATTACATGTCCAACAGTATTACTACAATTATGATATTTGATATAGTTTAATTTCGTTTTCGAAAATAACAATCTTAACTTTTAAGAACATTAAAATACAAATGTCGAAAATTTAACAAAACATTCTTCTTTGTAATGTTTTATTAATATATATTTATATCTTATATTATGTAAAATATCTAATACTCATAGTAATTTTAAATATCTTTTACATTTCTTGTATTTTTTTTTTTTTTTTTTTTTGTATTCAAATTGATCAAATTGACCTATTTTATATCTAAAAAAAAAAATATTTCTATGAATTGGAAATTTCCCTACACATCACTGTTGTACCGTAAAGGACATAAATTACCACACGAAACACACGATAATCTTAGTAATTTGCTCAAGATATCAGATAATATTTTTGGAACATATTCGTATCTAAACAAATGGTCATTGTTACAAAAGCGTTCACGACAATTTGACGACACACTTTCGTTACTTTTAGGAATAGATACGCGTAATCACCTGATGATTACAAGTGTTTCCTTCTACTATCACGTCTAGTCTTGTTACGAAAGAACATTGAATCGATTCAATGTTGATGATTTATTACCATGGAAACTCGTGAAAACATAACCACACGATCTATCAGACCCAATGACCCAATCTTCCATTATTGTGGATTTTCAACCTCAGTTGGGTTTAGTGTATCGTACAAAAAATGAGTCACGTGCATATATGACTTTTCAGTTGTCAGTTGTCTTAATTTATTTTTCAATAATTTTTTGTTGGTTATAATATTAACACACGATTAATATTATGATAATTGTAGAATAGAATAGGCGATATTTCATATTGAGGGTATAATAATGAAAATAAATAATTTTATAAGAAAAAAATAAAATGAAAATATTTTTCTTATGAAGTTCTTACAAAATTGATATTCATCGAACATATGTATATAAATTTACATATACATAAATTTATTTACAAATATATATTTTTGATTCAACAAATATATATTGTTATAAACTAAATGTATCATTATTTCAAATCTATTAATTTTCTTTTTTTTTTTTATTAAAAATTTCATTATTCGTTTAATTATTATTTTGTTTTTATTCAAATTTCATTGCAAATTTATTTTAAAATCAATTATAAAATAAAATGGAATAAGATAATAGAATAAGAATACTTTAATCAATTTCATAAAAATTAATTTTTATTAATAAATATTTTTATAATTTCATTTCTATTAATTAATTATCATTTAATATAAAATGATTTAATATGGAAATATAAAAAATAAACGTCTAGACAAGTGGAGAAAATTTGATCAAACCAGACTGTTTACGGAAGTTGCTTCTTACTAATATCACGAGTCGTATCACATTATGCAAATAGATACAACTATTTAATATGATTTTCACGATACTTAATACTTAAGAAAACATTGGTGAACAAGATTTTGATGACATCATCACATAGTTTTGAATATTATAGAGGACATGTTTTGTTATTATTGTGTTGTTGCTGAGAAAAACATTGTGTGTACTACATTTAAAATTAAAATGAATTAATTTAGCATCTTGTCCGAATGAATGTCCGAATGAATATTAAATGATTCTTTCATTTCACTCATACGTTTATCAAAGGAATATTCAAAATTTATTTTTTTCGAAAAAAAAAATGAATAAAATTTTTTTTTAACAAATTTCTTACATAATTATTTTTTTATCATAATTTAAATTTAAATTACAAAATTCACAATCTGATCATTTTTTATTCAACTTATACAATAACCTATTTATTAGTCTTTTTAAAAACAATTTAAAAAATTTAAAAAAAAAAAAGATAAATTTAGATCTACTGAATTGATTAATCAATATATTTTGCGATCTTTTCGTCGATTTTATCCTAAATTTTTATTGCATTATCTTAATTTTCAATATTGCATTATCTATATTTTCAATGTTAAAATTATAAAATGAATTGAAATAAAATAACTAATAATAATAAGTCATTCTAAATATTGATTCATTGATTTTTTAAAATAATTTAGATCAATCTAAATTTTCTTAAACAGAAATAATGATTCATTGGATAAAATTATTAACAAATTTTCTATGATTATCGTGGAAAGAAATGAGATATTATTTGATTGACATTTCATATAATAAGAAATTCTTGGAATCGATATATCAACAATCTCAAATCGAGTTAAAGACTTTTCATGGCCCTATGTATCTCGTTTTTTTTGACTGCATAAATAAATTCCCGGAATCATAGTAATTATCTATGGCTAAACGTATGTACGTATATATTTGGATGCATTAGAAACTGCATCGTATTTCACGTAAGCGAGAGCTTAGTTCAATCGGTTGAAATGCAAACCGATACGCTGAATGAAAATTTCATACAATTCGACAACTTCTATTTTAACGATGTAGGTCAGTGTCTTGCTTGTAACTGCCGGTTAATTCTTCTGATGGTCATCGAAAAAAAATCGATAGAAATGAATTGCAAATATAATTAGTGGAAGATAAAAAAACGAGTCAAAGTCGAATGTATCACTATAATTTACAAATAGATTGTTAAGATCTAGAAAGGCAGAAGAAAGATAAAAAATGTACTTTTTTTTTTTTTAATTTTCATTTCTTTTTTAAACAGAGATGAAAAAAAACTATTGTTAGAAATATAGTATTAACTATTATAAAAATTTAATAGAAAAATAATATAAGAATTTTTGTCATGTTATTTAAATGATAACAATATGAAAATATGTTATATGTATAATTATAAAAAAAGATATAAAAAATATATATAGATATATAAATAAATAGAAAAAATAATGTAAAAGAGTTGGAAATAAAAATAATCGATTGTTGCAAAGAAAAAAAAATAGGAAAAAAAAATATATTTTAACTAATTATCAAATAATTCCATTTCGTTAAACAATATTTCATGTTAAATAAGTATAAAATGATATTATAATTAAAATTTATAAATAATTTCAATTTAAAATATAAAATGAAAATAATAATGAATACACAAAATAATAATTGTTATATAACATTTTTATCTTGAATACTGAAATTAAAATTACGACTTAATATTTGTTATACTGTTCCATAATTATTTTACAGACTATAATATTAATTTTTTACAATAAAAACAATTTTTTTTAATATATATTATAAATGATAATAGTATTTGAAGCCTGTATTTCCTTTACGATAACAATAGACATCAATCGACAGTGATATGTGCAACCGCCCCTGAGTCATATGTGATATGTTAACAAAACTGTTTTAATAGAATATTTATTTAAAAAAAGAAAAAAATTTTTAGATGGTATAGATGCAACATTTATTTGTCATGAGTTTGAATTTTGATTACGGATATACATATGATTTGTCAAAATATTTTTATCAAAATAAAATCTCCCTAGAATCCAGTAAAACATATAATTTCACACCAAACAATATAACATTTTCTTTAAATACTTGAATTCTCAATTTTTCTTCTAGATGTCATTCTCTACGTGTTGTGAACAAAAATGAAATGAGGTTAGAATTTCATGTCACTAACAATTATACGTATACGTATATATCGCAGTTGGTCTCGAGTTGTATTTATAACGAATAAATATTAATCTTACGAAAAAGTGTTTTTCTTTTTTCTTTTTGTTTCAAGAGTGTAAAAACGTTTCAAGAGTTAAAAAACGTTGAAAAGAATTTTGCATAATTTTCCTTTACAATTTCATCATTTCATCATTATTCTTATTTTACATTTCTCTAACGTGCGATAACTAGTTCGCGATTGGTTCCCGTGAGTATTCTAAATATGTATTGGCATACGGATAACATAACAAATAATCAATTATTTTTTAACTATTCAGAGTCACTAAGAGTTAAAAATAACCATATATTTTTTATGCGAAGGAAAAAAAAAGATGAATTATAATTATAAAATTAATTATTAAACAAATTTTACATTTTTTAATGTAAAACATTATGAACAAATAAAAATTATATATAATACGAATATTCTCCATTCAACTATAAAAAATCAATGTTCGTGAAAGAAATATTATTTCAAATTTAAGCATACAATCTCCAGATGATTCAACTCTGCCTATCGAAGCAATGAAATATTTATACGAGATACAAAATACAATTCAATACTAAGAAATCAGAGATTTCTTTTATATCGTATAAAGAGCAAGACAATGTTTTTTCTTTTCTTTGTTTGATTAGCAAAAATATACTAATCATTTCAAGACAAAAGTTTAAGTTTAAGTTTAAGTTTTTTAAAAGAATATTTCAAATATTAATAAAACAATTCATTATTAATTATTAAATATTATAAAAAAATTAAAAAAAAGATATATTATCATAAAATTCTTTAATAATTAATTATTGAATATTATTTGATATAATCATTAGCAATAATTCGTATTGAGCGAAATATTATTTAAACATCAATCTTTAAATTTAAATATTATAAATTATTATATTACAAAATAATTAAAAAAAAAATTAAATTTACATTTATTATTGCAATTAAAAAAAAATTCACTAAATAATTGCCAAATTAACGTCTATAAGTTTTATTATTAGCAATTTATATTTTAATTTTTTCATATAAGCGCAAAAAAACATTATTGTTCAAAAAATATTGTCTGGAAAATTCATATAATAAACAATAATTATTTATACTTATGTCATTATCAATATTTCTCTTTAAAGTTTCAATTAGCATAAATTATAATTCTTTTTTTTAATAAACAAAAAAAAATATTAAATTATTGGTTTTCTTTTCTTTTTATTAAAAAAATTAATTATTTTACATTATTATTCATATACATTACATATATTTCACTAAAAGTTTAAAAAAATTTCGTTTTTAAATTTTTCTCACAAATTCATATAATATGAAAAATTATATCTCGTTAAATTTAATTTAAAATCAAATATTTTCATTGTTTAGAATAAGTACAAAAAAAAATTATTATTAATTCTAAAAAAATGATATGAATTCATATATTTCAAATGATTACCGAGATTTATATTATATCTATTTCATTAAAATTGTCAATTTTATGAAGTATATTTGATTTAATATGAAGTATATTAAATCAAATTACATATTTTTACTAATTATAAAATAAAAATACTTTTTCCAATTAAATTTTTAGATCATTGTTAAAAATGGAATTCGAAATTTGTTTTATTTTCAAATCACTTTGATAAAAAATCAATGGAATATCGATACAAGACAATCTTGTACTCACCGCTATTATTGCTGGTCCAGCAATCGTATAGAGTGTGATGTTCTAGATGATCGTTTGATCGATGGCTGTGGAGCGGAGTTGCGCGTCGCGTCTTATTGTGTTATGTTGCAAAGAGTTAAAAGGCACTGGTCATAAAGGCAACGAGCGTCTGATAGTACGATCTGTGTTACTACTGTAAGAGCGCGGCTGCGATATTTATGTAGAGAAGCGTTTCGGCGCACGCGTCGTTTACCCCGCGCTCTCGACTGTTGCGATTCCCCTCTTCTAGCTTGAAAGTGATTATCCGATGTGATCGTAGGTCCACTGGATCGTTACATGCCGGAAAATTCTTGTCTGCCTCTGTTACCATGGTACTTGTCAGTTACGAACCATCGACCGAAATTATTCGCGATTCTTTTTCAATGACGTAACTTGAACTTGTCCAAGGTTAAAATAAATCATCACTGATTATCGTGTGGAAGTTTTAACAAACAATTTTTCCAATCCTACTAGATGAATTTTCAAAACGAAGCAACTTCAAGAAATAACCAAATATCGATAAATATCGATAAATAGGTAACTAGTGCAATATATTTTTCCCTATTAAGCGAAAATAAGATTAATGAAAAAATTTTTCTTTTTTATCAGCTGTTGACAAATAATATTCATAATGAATTTAAATTACTGTATAATCAAATATATCGTTATAATAGCGATTAAAATTTTTATTTGACATTATTTTATTTTTACTATTCTCTATAGATACGAGATTATTTATTTTATGTAACTAGAACAATTTATTCCATATTTTTTTTGCTATTATTACTACATTTGTATAAGTTATTTGATCAATTTTCATATGATGATTACATAAGATTAAATATAAATTTTCCAATATCATTATATTTAACAATGATAACGAAAAATAGATATTTTTTTTTTCATCATTAAATAGATATCTTCAAAATAAATTTACCTTTTTTAGTGCAATATATTTTATCAACATAAAAAAGTAGAAAAAATAAATAATGATATAAATGACTAAATTATACTTTAAAAATATGTTCTAACAATGGAGTTGAAACAGTATATTGCATTTTCTCAATTATTGAACAATTATCGAACAATTTCATAAGATTTAAATTGATAATAAAATTATTCAAATAATAAAAATTAAATTGGATTTAAATATATGAAACTATTTTTTTTACAAATATTTAAAACATTTATAAAATTTTTAA